GGGGGGGGGGGGGGGGAGAAGAAGAAGCGTGCATAGGAGAGGAAACACGCACTCCCCCTGGGGGAATTTCTCTTTCCCCCCGCGGATACCATCACGCATGCACACATTTATTGAAAAAAGGTGTGCGCGTTGTGGTCCCCTCTTCAGTATGTCTGACAGGTTTTGTGGCTGTTCAAAGGGGGAAGGAAGAAGAGGGAAAAAACACGTCCGGACAAAAGGCAGGTGCTGGAATGCATTGATTACTCTCTTCCCGTCGTAATAGTTCGTGTTCGATTGGGGAATGAAGGGAAATTACGAGTGAAAATGAAAGTTTGGAGGGGGGAAAATTAGGGGAGTCAGTCTGGAGGGATGGGGGAGAAAAATCAGTTGAAACGGAAATTTGCATCGTGAGAATTACCATTGTCTTGAGGAATTTCGGCTTTTTTCAGTATTCAATTATTATTTCTTGTTTTTTAAATGAAATTTCGATATTGTGAGTGAACGTTTTAGAGAAATATTGGGATTTCTACTAGGCGTGTTGAATTTTTCACTAAAGTTCAGGTAAAAATTGAATATTGGGGGGGGGAATCATGAAATTGTAGATTTCATTGGAAAATGAATGATATTCTAAATTTATAACTAGAAAATTCTTCAATTTACTTGATTTTTTAATCAAAACATCAATGTCCAGTACTAAATTATCCTGAATTTTCAATAAATCAAAAACCCAAAATATATCGACCTGAATTTTCCGGACTTCTATTGATTTTCAAAGAATAATTGAACTAAAATTCCCACTTTCCACTGATTTTTCAATGACGAAATTTTAAAATTTCAAAGGAACTATCACGTAATGTAAATTATCAGTAATCGTACCGATAATTTCATCCAAAAATTAATCTACACTCTTAATCTTGACTGTTTTCATCGATTTCCTCGTCCAACTGATTTCGTAAAGATAAAATGTCTTAAAAAATCGATGAGAACGTTGAAAAAAAATTCAACCCACTTTCCCCCCACATGAGTCAAGATTTGAAATCTCCTGCTGACGTCATCACTGCACTGAGAGATTATGAATCAGGGTAAACCTCACCTTTTGTTGGGCAAGTCTCAGGGACTCCTCAAAGTGCTTGTGCACCGCTTGCTCGGCAGCCCTCTGCTTCTCCAGTCTCTCACGCTCCATTTTGGCCTCTCTCTCCCGTTCGCGCTTCTCCAATTCACGCACCTCAGCTTCTCTCCTTTCCCTGTTAACACAAATAAAAAAAATCGACGTTCAATCAAAGTTCCCAATGCACTCAAACTCCCATTAAACTTCATTCTGTAAATAATACGTGACACACCTCCCAATGTTGTTTAAATTCCCCTAACTGGGTGAAAAATACCCGGGGTTTAAAAACTTTGGCAAATCGATTTCAAAGTTTCAAGTAGAGCGTTTGCGTCTCGATTCTAGACCCCCCTGATACCTCTAGCTACCCGGAGAAAAAAATTCCAGAATTTTTCAGGAGAAATTCAGGCAAAAATTACCGTGTCGTCTGGTAAAGTGGGTTCAATTGTCTAGCACCAGAAAAATTCCGGTACCGCACAATAAAAGCTTGATCCCTGACTGTTTTCTATTACATGATAAATTACATTCAATAGTTAAAAATGAGTAAACATTGTCATTCAGCATATCATCCTATTAATTTTATTTCAACCTCTCCTCCATATCCTCTCTCCCATATTAAAAGCGGAGTGCGCGACAAACGTATGTGGAACGTTTGACAGGCCAATGTATCTCTACAGCGTTATAACCTCATGAAGAGAAAATAAAGGGCTCTTATTTTGTTTCTTAACCGTTTTATCACAACACTAATTAATATTTCACTGAATTGATATCATGAAAAACATTAACCTGGGGTTTCTCTAAGGAGATATGTGAGAGGAGGCTAGAGGAGGCGACGGAATAAATCATCTGGTCACGTTGAGTTGACGTTCGTGGTTGCGGAGGGGGGACGAATAGTGCCGAAATCTTACGAATGCGCGATCGGCTCCTAGGATTCTGGTAGAGCACCGGAAAAATTTGCCAGCCAGTGTCATAATTTTTCTCGTATTTCTCGTAAAAATTCACTGTCGCTTCGATTTTACCGCACAAGAATTTTTCCCCGCATTTATCCGAAAAATGACTCGTGCAACAGTACTTTTTCCTACTCTTTGCGGTACATTTCGCCTGGAAAGACCATCTGAACCCGCTTTACTGTGCGAGCACGGTAATTTTTCTCCTACTGTTCTCTCCGTGTATCTAAAATAGCCAAACATAAAATTCAATAACAGAAACTTTCGCGTAATAAATAAACTCCGATCGATGGACTGGAAACATCATTGGCATACAAAGTTTCGTTGGAAGCTCCGGGGTAAGCTCGCAAACTTCCAAGGATACGAAGACTGTCTGAGCGTCGGCAAGACTCAAGTTAAACTTTGGCTGGAGAGTTGCAGGGTTTATCCCTGTTCTGTCTTGTCTATTCCCCCCCCCCCCCCCCCCCCC